GATTTGTTGTTACTGGTGCAGGAGCAGCGCGGAAACGATCCTCCTGGCGCAATGTTCCACGCAATGGCGTTCCAAATTGGGGAAAATTGGTATCAGTGTGGAAAGAAAGGTTGCTCTCATGAAGCCACGGCCGAGCATATGCGACAACATCTTCACAAAAAGGATCATTTGGGCATTCCCTTCTTCCCATGTAACCATTGGTACGTGATCCTTTGAGAGTCGAGCTCGATACTGACCTTGATTTGTACAGTTCTAGTAAATTTTGTCGAAAAGCCGACCTTTCAAGGCACCAAAAGTCATGCACAGGGGTACGACAGAGTATGGGTAAGCATTGTAGAATCAGAAAAATCACAGGGACTGATATCAAACCATCGCAGCTACAGCCCCAACGGCGAGCCATAATCTGGACGATTCTGTCGCCACGAGGGTCAAGAAGAACCTGAAAAATGGCCTGGCTCCTGTCCCATATGCGCAACCCGATTCTCGCAAGAAGCACAATGGTGGGCATGCTAACCCGATCTCGTGGGATATACCACCACCCAAAGACCTTTCGTTCCCATTGGCACCCTATCCACAGCAGAACAATTACATCTCAGGCATGAACCGACAAGAGCCACCATTGGGCCTTTGGACCTCTACTTGGCCAAACCATTCAGCTGGCCTCAGTTGTCCACCTGGTGTAAATGACTTGTTGAGTAGAAACTTTATTTCATCTTTGCATATTATAACTAGCTACAGATCCATTCCGTACTTGGGACAACCGAGCTTCTCCACTCAAGGTTCAACCTACCACCCTCCTCCATTCCCACCTAATCGCACGAATAATATGCCCGCGTCAAATATCTTAGAATCTCCGCTGGCCTATGCAAATAATGGGACCCCATCGGCTCCTTCAGGATCTCCACCTGATTACACGAACAGTATATACGCATCAACTTCTTCGGCACCTGTGTTCATAAGTAAGAAGATGCATCGCTATAGTCTGGATATTGACCATTATCGAATAGATGGTATAGGAATGTGGCCGCCCGTTCCGCCACAATCTACCCCAGTAGCCGCCGAGACTACAGACCCGGTATATAAGGAGAAACGTGATGTATCGGAGGCCGAATCCGGGACAAAGGTGGGCCCTAATAAAAAGGGGGACTATTCGGGAGTATGCGAAAGTGGATTCCCAAGTGGTGCCGTGTGTCTAGTTGTGCTGACCGCTTTCTTTGTCGCATTAGTCCTATTAGTACTAGGTATCAGCTTTGCTTATCGTCTCCGGCCCGTCGATATACAAAGGTTGCATCCTCTTCTTCTGGGGTTACTCGATTAAAGCGCAAAAAAGTGGTTGTATAAACTATTGGAGGGGCATTGAAAGTGGGGTCCTTCTAGGAACCTATGTTCAATATCCATCCTTTGAATAAACTGTTTTTCCATTTCTTCATCTAGGTCTCGTTCCAGATTCCGACCGTGCAGCGTTCAAGCTATTGGTACCATCTCTTGCGGCTCTGAGTGACCTTCTGGATTCCCTCCAATTATTACCCTGGTTTTGATTTCCCGGAAATTTTTTGTCTGATCACGAGATGGCGGTAGACTCGATAGGATTCCTGTGCCCCCGTACACTTGTCTATGATTTGCAGGACATTGGTTACTGTAGACTAGAACATTGTAAACGGATGTTGTTGTGGGCTTGTCTATAATGATGTTTTCCCGGTGCGCCAGCACCCTTCTTGGATTCGTACCACCATAAAGCCGACTTTTTCCTGTTTGCGCCGGCACGTAAAATGAAGCATTGCGTACTCCTCGTCTCCGTCATAATTATCGTTCATTAAGACACAGTCTGACTGTGTCAAAGATGTCTTTAAGTTGGCAACGTCGACGTCGACGTCGGACAGCATCGCTTGCAGCCTCTCGTCGAACGTCTTCATCATCCAGGCTAACAACTAATTGGGCGGCGCGCGCGCGCACTGCTTGACCTTTGCACAACCAAGTCACCATTCGTGAACGTTAGCTTTCGAGTACTTCTTACGAGCATGAGGCGGCATGGAGCTTTGTCTGTCGTTCAATGCCAGAGTAGACGCCGACAAGAAATCGCTGCACCAACTGGATGAGATGTGTGGTTAAATCCGTGGACATTTTATTAAAGATATATCTTGGCTACTGGTACGTGTGCGGGATTGGTCTTCAGTGGCGAGTTTCACGTTTCCCAGGATAGCTTGATTAGCCCCCCCAGGTGCCTGACTGAGGCGGACGTGAGTCTTCCGGGATAAGAACCAAACTGCCAGGCCCCAACGTTTTGAGTTCTACAATAGTTCAGGAGACTGCACATTACATGACAACTTCTGTCAGCTTCCAATTCAGCGCAATGGCAGGATTTTTTGAGGGACTGGTACGCTACCACTGCGCATCATACAAAGAATCACAGCCCAGCTATATCATCTGGTACATCTCTGTTGCAGTGGGTCCATCGATAGGTCGACTGGGTTGTTGCTCAGCTTTGATTTGCCCTTCACCTGCTGCACTGCCGTCTTCTTGTACGGCTCACGTCAGTCTCCCTTTCATGGGGTCGGGGATATATAAATACGGCAAATCATCTACACTCTGGCTCTTCCCTGTACATTCCATACCATAAAAGAAAATCAGTGCGTGGTGATCACTTCTGGAGATGGTTTCGTTTGCTGATCGGATTGGTTTCTAGTGAACAACCCAAGAGATACCAACGCTCCAACCGGCCTTGGATTCATTCACAAGCACGCAGACCACATGAGAGTCAACCCGAACGGTCGGCTCCTCCTCTCGTTCGGGACACAAGAAATGCCTCCACCCAATATGCAACAAATGGCCACTGATCCCATATCCCCGTTCTCTCCTAACCACGCTACCTCTAGTACTTCCTCTCTCGCGAGCGCATCCTCGATGGAGCATCTGAGCGAAGAGTACAGGGAGGCCCTGCGTATGGCACGCCGCTACCCAAATGCGGACCCAAAATACATCCAGCACCTCCAAATTCTCTTTGATGGGCTCCATGAGCAAGGGCCCATTCCCCAGAGACCATCTACGAACCAGATGGAGCCCTTTTTCAGAAGGCACCGCTACCCGGCTCGGTCGTCTGGGAGGGGTTCTAGAGGTGGCTGCATCAACCACGAGTGTCTGTGGCCGGGCTGCGAGTTCAAACATACCCTTCAAAAGTGTATTGATCACTTTTTCTCCCAGCACGTAACGGTCAAGTTCTTTCTCTGTGGCACCAATGAATGGTGAGCTCACCCTCTCTTGAAAAGATGCATACTAACCCCCGACAAGCAACAAGACCTTTTTAAGAAAGCACGATCTTGATAAGCACAGGGCTCGGGCTCATGATATCCCCAAGCCACGAGATCACAGGTGTGTGTTTTCGCCTTTTTGAAGGCGCCGAGCACCCCAGTTAACGCTGACACCAAAGTGAATAGAGGTCCACAGAGCTCTGTTGTACCAACAAGCACGGGCACCAGCACGCGTACTACTCGATCTAGGAAGGTGACAACTGGTCCATACTGAACCAGCTCGGTTTGCCTGTCTCGTTCCATACCCATTGCCCAGCACCATGCCATTACCATCACCACTCTCCGGACTCATACGACTCTTTCTCGGCTAGCCTTTATGACTGCTATGACTATTTTCGTCATTCATGATCTTTATGCTTTGCCTTTCTCACTCACCTCTTTTGTCTGCTGCTCATCTCTTCTCCCGGATAACGTGCCATGTTGCCACGCCGCGCACTTGCAGTAATAGTCTGGTTACTATCAGCGCTATGAAAACCGTCCGCT